ATCAAATATAAATAATAATCTCGGGCAAAAATATACTTTTCTTTACATAAATTCCTCTCTCGTGTTTTTTTTATATTTTAGATCATATAAATATCTATTATAAATTTCTAAAATTTGAAAATAAATAAAAAACACTTTGCAGTCGCCGTGCCAAAGACAATCTAAATTTGAGCTTATTTATCTGACAACCTCTATAGATGTTAATCTACTTCGGTAAATAGCTTTCAGTGTGCTGTGAGACATTAAATATTTAGCATAAGCAAACTTAAAAGTTTTTATAATTTATTTTCATTGTCATTGCTTTAGCCGAAACAGAAGCAGACAGATTTGCTGTTTGAACTGTCAGCTTTGGCACTAAAGAAATGCAAACAGCAAACAGTCGCACACACACACATACACATGTTTACACACTCGAGGCTTACACACACATGCTCATTGTTATACACTTGATGTAGTTTGTTTATATTTGTTTATGTTAAATATTGAAGTGCATATGAAGCCACTAAGAGAGAGAGAGCGCCACTTCAAAGCCGAGCCAAGCATTTCAGGTCAGCTAATGGCTGCCTTTTTCCAAAGGTAACAGCAACTGCAACAACAACGTTACCGCAGAGAACTTTTACGGTAAAAGTGGATTTTCTTTTGCGCCATTTTTGCGGCATTTTACGTTTCTTTCGTTGCCGTTTGCCTGCTTGGCTTTTCTTTAGCGCTTTCCCCAACTCGTTACCTGCCCTCGCCTGCTGCGTCTACGTCGCTTTAAGCTGCTCGAAACAAAGTGGTCCTCGTGGCTGCGTCCATCCGCAAAAATGTTTGTAGCCACAAACACACACAGAGCAGCGCCTGCAGCTTGTTTCTGGCAAAAAGAGTCCGCCCAGCAGGCGTGCAAGCAGCCAATTCATTTGGGTCAGGGTTGCAGGCTTGCAGCTGACATAGAAATGCTCAAGAAATGCTCAAGAAATGGGCGAGACGATTGAGACTCGGCGAGGCAAACACATCTAAGAGTGGCTAATCTTACTCGATTGCAATTTAAATCGCAGCGACTGTGAATATTTAATAGCTGCACCAGAACAACTTGCTCAAGTCACTTAATCAACATAACTAACAATTTTATTTCAATAATAATTTTCTTATATTTTTATTTGACTGCATATAACTAATATTTATATGAAAACATTGTCTGCTAACTGGCTAGCGACCTTCGTTTCAATATGCCATCACAATAAGCGCCTTACTTATATTTAAACAATGCTCATAATTCCGGTCACTTATACTGTGATAGCAAGATTTACGGCTAAGGCAAAGCCCACAATATGCCAACCATGGGCAGAACTATAAAACTAATCCGCGCTATTCAACAGACACAATAGCAACACACACACACACAACAATCAAATCAACCAATCAACTGTCGATTACTTAAGCCATTTTCAATCAACACGGCAACGTCATGGCACACACACACACACACCCAACCAACCGAATTACAAATCTCAAACGCACAATAAACGCAATTACACGCGGGCATAGAGCAGGAGAGCAGGTGAAGAGTTAGTGGGCGTTAAAGAGAAATGGTCAGCCCGCTATGCGTTTGACCGCAGGCCGCAAAACGTGGCAAAGGAAATGAAAGCCAAGCGTAACACACACACACAATCTCACACACACTCTCACGCATTCGTTTCTGCACTGCCCAAATGCAAACGCGAAACACCTCGCCAATTCCAACCATCAATCAATCTTTCAATCAGCCAGTCCACACGCATGCATATTGCCAACAGGATTGAAGCCAATTATGAGTAAGCAACGTTTTCGATAAGTGTCCCCAGCGGGCCTGCAAAATTCGCAGCCTGCAATCAGCACTAAATTATTTGCGTCGAAAACTAATCGAAACTTCATAGCAATTCTCTCATATTTACATCTTCACATTGCGATAGATAATCTCAGTCAATGCCTAACAAATTGAGCGGAATTTGTGCGAATTTGATAGACAGACGAGAGGTTTGTGTTTCATAACAACTTGAATTTGTGCTTAACACGCGCTGATTATGCGGACAGGCTGCCAATGAAAGCTTAACTTTGGGCAAGGCCATAGACTTTAATAAAAAAATGATTTAGATATCATTTAAATATTCTATAAAGATTAAAAATATCTATGGCATCGCTATTTGCCCAATTCTGTCTCCCTCTCTCCGTCATCATCGATAAAAAACATCTTATCAATGCGCCACATACAGTGAGTCAATAGTATCTTATGTAATGCATTTAACATATATATTGCTAGAAAATAACTAAATAAATTAATTATACAAAAATTGTATATCACTTGTTGATGTTGTTGTAAATATATTCCTGATCACGATGATTAGATAGCCATATGAGTTTGGCACTATGTCTACTCACCTATCTGCTCGTCTGTCCGCCTGTATTAATGTGTCGATCTCTCGAACGATAATAGCTAAAAAGATAAAAAAAATTAGAAATTTGTGCCTTAGTCAATGTCATAAGCTGACAACTTCATTAAGCTCGTATATCTGAAATCCGTCATTTTGCAGAAACCTATTTCTTAAAGTCCCTTTTCCATTCCCCTCACTATTTTCTACACTTAACATTTCTTTTAGTTAGAAATTAAATTAATAATAATTTAAATATATAAATTTATAAATAATATAAATAAATAATTAAATTAAAATGAAGCCATACATAGCTATACATCTTGTAAATACCTCTATTTCAGTTAAGACCTTGCTATACCCAGGAATCCTTCTCCATTAACTCAACTAACATTTGCTTTACATTTCGTGCATTACAGCAATGCTTCCTACTCCAGCTTTTCCACAACAAAACACAAGTACAAGACTCAGCTGCTTGTTTCACTTGACTGTAAAAACTTTAAGCCATTTCAGAATGCTGTACTTCCGAATTTATTAAGTACATTTCCGGTTCCTCTTTGATACGTTTTTAAGTGGATTTACTGAGTAGTTGATGCTGCTGCAACCCCCTTGCAACTCTCATTTTCATTATGTCTTTGTCTTTAGCATTTGCCGCCCTCTATTTCCATTTCCCTGGCATATCTAAAACTTTTCCCGGCGGTAAAATAAAGTTACAATTTTTATAACGATTTCAGATTTTGTTCCTTTCATTTTTTTCTCTCTCTCTGTGCCTCGCCTTTATCCCCAATTCATCTGCTTTGCATATTTCTTTGTTATGCTTGTATTATTTTCATTTCGCATCTCTCTCTGTTCTCTGCGATTGTGTAACGTAATCTCCGCATGCTGTGTCCGTCCGCCTAGGCTATACGAAAAAAATCTGCTCTGAATATATGCAAATAAGTTGGGTTTCTGCTTTAATTTGAACGAACTCAACTTTCGAGCATGACCTTCGCATTAAAGTTCTGCGCAAACTTGAACAAATATGTTTGAAAAGTTAAAAGAGAACTAACGGCTAGAAGCCAAATAATGGAGGAAAATGAGAAATAACATTTGGCTTTAAGCGAAATGTGTTTTGCGCAAGGAAAGCAAATTGAAAGCCAACGAAGAAAGTGAGAAGGTGCTGTTGGTGGAAGGGATGTCCTGGATGTAGCTGAAGTTTCCGAAAGAAATATGATTTGAACGTATGCAAAGTATCTGCATCTGAGGTTGGTACTTGAAACCTAATTAGTTAGCTTAGCTTTTATATACAGACTAGTCAGAGAGAAGAGGGTATCTAGTGTATTCCAAGAAACATCCAATAATACTCAGCTAACATCAAGTCAGACCAGACGAAACAAAATATCTTTCCAATTTATCTCGCTATCTATAGTTATTACAAGTTCATAATAAATAATTCGAAACCAAAAGATAACCAGGCAAAGTGAATTGTGAAATTTCATGGACTATTTTTGGTCTTGTCCAGATTACATATCTCGTCATCTGTTAGCCCAGTTTGAAGATGGACAACAAGTGTCTGTCATTTATCACTCAATTTGGTCACAACTAGTTGACAACTGCTATTAGCCGAGGCCTCGCATGTTGTCTATAAATCTTAACAAGCGCTTTTTGGACTGCCAGTAATTTACTCGAGCGTCATATATTTTACGCATTGTATATGAATTCGTGGCAATTGTTGATAAACGCTCTGATAACCTACAGATAACTGGGCTAATAAAGCCGATTGGTCAACTATGGCCAATTCCAAATGATTCACAGGAAAAACGTAACAGCTTTAGATATAGATTATACCGCAATAAATGTTAGTTGGCTATAAAAGATACTTGAAAATATAGAATTTTCGAGTTAAATGTAATTAAAAAGTTTTACCTGTTATATAAATTAGTCAATTTATATAAAGCAGCGATAAAGCAGCTCTTGCATGAGTCAACTGCAAAATGTATTGGAAGAAGTATATATAGTCTGGAAGTATATATGTTGTGAATGTATGCTAAATATATGTATTTGTGTATATTTCCGTACTTAAGAGATAAGCCTCAACAGCCTTGTCATACGATAGCCACCACAAGAGACATGCAAACAAAGCAAAATATCAGATAAGTCTGATAGTCACAAAAATGCATTAGGAATCAGTTATTGATCTTAAGTAGACTGCGATTGACTATCTATATACTCAGTGAACTCCACAAAATTTGTATATATGGGGCTACTTAAAAGAATATTTGGGGCATGAGTTGAAGCTGTTTATCTAAATTTACTGGCGGCTTAGACAAATAGATGAAAAAACAAAATTATATTAAATTATATTATATTAAATTATTATATAAGATTTATTATTATTATATTATTGTATATTTATTTTATATATTATATTATTATATTAAATTGCTGTTGTCTGATGTGGTAAAAAAATTGAATTTTTCAATTAATAGTCCACATTTTGAATGCCTCCAGAGTACAGGGTATGAGAGCCCCTTGAAAAGGTTTGGTTGTCAAGTTGTTACTGTTACCAGCATTTCTAGCTTGTAATGAAATATTAAACCATTCTAAGGAAAATATTGAAGTGCAGCCAATTGAGTAAAAAATCGTTGCGGTCAGCGAAATGACAAGTTTCAGTTGGGCTTGAGGTGCCAAAGTCAAAAGTTGTTACTAACATGTTGTCAACGCAAGCTGTTATCCTTTTGCTCTGCTTCTCCTTAACTGTTGCAAGCGAGTTGCAAAAGGGAGCCGTGAGGGCTTCAGCTCCTCGCAACTGCTACAGCTGCAAGGGCATCAATTGTCAGCGAACCACGCGACAAAACGCGACGGTCAAGTGCACCGATCTGCTGGACATTTGCGTGACAGTCTACGAGGGCTGTAAGTAAACTAAGTTGTTTGTATAAAATAAATACTAAACCACAATATGCTCCACAGTTAGGGTCAGTGAGCGGGGTTGCCTGCTGGAACTATCGGTAGCTGCGCAGTCCAAGTGCCACGCACGGGATCCGCGTTGTCAAAAGTGCGGCGGAGATCTGTGCAACAATCAAGGACGCGTCGACTTTCAGTGCATACAATGCAGCGGCTCAGACGTAAGTACTACATATGCTCAGTCTAATATTATATTGATTCCTCTTGGTCTCTCACAGGACTCCAAGTGCAACTCGGCTGGTGATAGTATCAGCGCCGCCAAATGCTCAGCGCCCACTGGTAACAACGCCTATTGCTATGTGAGGGCAGTTGGCTCCAATCTGCAAAGAGGCTGCGCTCTGAGCGTCAAGGAGCAAATGAATTGCCTCCAGGATAACGACTGCAGCCTGTGCCTTCCAGAGAATGGCCATGGCTCCTCTGCCTGCAACAATTACGCTCTGGAGTTCAGTGCCAGCGGCGCCAAGGGACAGCAGGTGTTTGGCCTTCTGCTGGGACTGATCAGTGTGCTCACCATACAAGGACTCAATTAGTTTACTTTGAAAATGTTTTAAAAATTATCAAAATAATAAAAATAATAACCAAGTTACTAATTGATTAGAAGTTTGAGCTGTTTGGCTTATCAAAAAACGATATCAAACTGTATAAAATTTATAAATTTATGAAATTCTTAAGCCATGCGAAGCAAAATAATCAATGGCAATAGAAAAAGACTAATTTAAAGCGAGTTCGTATTGGATGACATAATGTTTAATAACAGGAAATATTTTAGAATTAGAATTGTATATCTATACATATATATATATTTATATATATATATATATATATATATATAACAGAGAACAATTTTCAAAAAGTAAAATATAACATAAAAAGTTACACTAACTGTTGATATATATTTTTTTAATTGTTACAGATATTTATTAAAATTATTAGTGTTATTTATTTATTTATATATATATATATATATATATATTCAGCTTTATTATTTTTAATTACCTTCCTATTTGCAAGGCTTTACTTTAAAATTGTGAAAACCTAATTAATTCGTACCAAACGTATCAGGATTTTTTCTTAATTCTATTTCTTACATTCTAATTGAAGCAAAAAAGATGAATTTTTTATTTTCGATTGGTAAAATTACTATTTCCTGTGGATTATGCTTGAAAAAGTGCAGCACTAATTGTTGTCTGAACACATAAATGTATATTATATAAATTATATATACATATAGATACATAAATAATTAGGAAACTCGTTCATTTATGATACAGGTTAACATCGAGTGCTTTTTTTAGGATTATACAAGATTAAATCATACTAAAGCATAATAATATATTTTTAGTATTGATGAAACTAACTAAATTAGGTACAAAATCTTATGACATTTATATTTACATATAATTTTGACCATGTGGAGGCGACGACTACCGCATACAAGGAGAAGTCTCCAACACCACAATCATCACAATCTTGACTTTAATCGTTTTGAATGGCATATGGTCCAATGACTCCGCCAGCTCCTAAAGCGCACCAAACATTAGTTTTCTGTAGATAGAATAGTGTTTAAAAAACATATTCTAGCTTATCCTCGTTCTCAGTGAGACAATTCTGTTCTTTATTAAATTTTGTTAATTAAAAGCACTCAATCAAAAATGGGCTTCATCACAAATCAAGAAATTTGACAAACAGAAGCTTTATTTTGACAAAAGCTTCAAAAATTTCTAAGCATTGCTCTGGTGTAGATCTAAGCTTCATGAAATGTCCAAACGAAACTTAACAAAAACAAATTATCAGCTGCTAAATGGTTAGTCAAATAAAGAAATATACACCTTATTACTCCAGCTCTTTCATTGATTATTAAAAGCTCGATATAGAGAAATATATAATCAATCAAGACATATGTTTGCTTCAATAAAATTGAGGCAAAGATAATACCCAAACGATTTTGTACTACATATTATCAAAGCCTTTGATTCTCACTAAAATATCTTCTTAACCTGTGCAAATACAAATTACGAAACTATATAGCTGTGACTAGGTGTTGCTACTTTGCCACCGGTCGAGTGTTTTCCGGCGTCGAGTGCACTTCACATAACAGCAAGCATATAAAAGTCAAAAGCATTGGCCTCCGGCCCTCAGTTAAAAGCGCATCATGAAAGTCAAAGCAATTCTGAGTGCGCTGCTGGTGGTCGTCCTCGCGACAGGATATAGCGAAGCCAACAAAATCACGAGCTGCCACAGCTGCAACGGCATCAACTGCCAGCGAACGGATCATTCGCAGGTGCAGAAGTGCGTGGACTCGCTGGACTACTGCGTGACCATCTACGATAAGTGTAGGTTGTAAAAGGTGCCACTTGAGTCTCTTCTAATATTTATTTCAAATATGCAGCGCAAGTTCTGTACAAAGGTTGCTCTCTGGAGATACCCACTAAGCTGCGCCATCGATGTGACTCGCCACATGACGATTCGTGCTTGAAGTGCAACTCGGATAATTGCAACAATGTGGGTTCCATGAAGTACGCCTGTGTGCAGTGCGACTCCAGCCAGGTAAGATGCATAGCTCAGCCTATTTCCTGGACCTATATTAAGTTTCATTTGCCTCCACAGGACAGCAACTGTGCTGAGAACGCAGCCAGCTTGAAGCCAACAGTTTGCACAGCTCCAACGGCCATCAACTCCTATTGCTATGTGAAGGCCTCAAATTCGGGCAGCAACATTCAGCGAGGCTGTTCCACAACTGTGACTGATCAGCAAAGCTGCCTCAAGGACTCCAACTGTCTGCTCTGCTCGTCCGGCGATATTCGTGGCTGCAACAGCTTGAATATTACATTCGATTCGAATGCTGGCAATCGTTTCATTCGTTTTCTGCGCTAGTTTTAAAGTTGACTGCATTTCTTTAAGCTTCCATATTCCTGTTAAAAAACAATAAACATTTGGCATCAGTATATATACAAAATATAAATATATATCGCTGGGCATTTCATGCATTTATTTATGGCAAATACAACGTTTTAATAAAACTAGCGAAGTCTCAAGATAAGATATCCAAATGGCAAAGTCTTTGGGGAAAATTGTGAATGAACTTAAAGTTGGACGAGACCTTATAATAATATCAAATTTTGCAATGCTTTCAACTAAGACTAACAAACTTTATATATAGAACTGATTAATTGAGATAAGATAAATATATAATCTATCTTAAAGTTGATATAAGTCGGGTCGAATTAGCTCTATATAATTCATATCACACTTTTTATATGCAATAGTTGATAAAGTCTATGAAAAATTGGTGCATTTGTTGTTGTTGCTTGATTGCTTATCTGTTTATGTTTGGAACTATTATTGAGATTGTATAGAGGGTATATATATCCTTGCAATCCCTAAAGGCTTCTACTAAGAACTTCATGATTTGTGTTACTCTAACTCATCACAATACGAATGCCCAATGCCATCCCTAAAATTAAAATTGATTAAATAATAAGGCAAGGGAAAAATTCCATTTTGCTTGTAAACATGTTTATTTGCTTTTGGCTAAGGAAGACCTTATGATGCAGCCCATTAAAATGAGTATTTGAGTACCTTTAGGCCTTATGAACTCGTCAAAGAAGCCAAATGGTGAGCTGTTTACACAATGCTCAAGAGCAATGCAAACAATTACGAAAAGTCATCCAAGCACTGAGTTTTATTCGGTTATCAATCAGCTTGACTTTGCCAGAGGTAGTAATAGATACTTGTACGCTTGTTAAGGGACTCTAAAGAGCCGACCACCAGCACTTCAACTGTTGGCCAGTAACAAGAAACCCTTGAGTGCCATGTAGCTTATATAAAGCGTAGGCCACCTAATCGCCAATCCAAATGGCCAAGGCATCAGTTCCAATGTTGACTAGGAAGTGTGCGATTCTCTCCGTTTTATTGCCTTTGCTGGGCGCCGCTTGTGTCCTGGCATCGGAGTCATGCTTCTACTGTCGTGGCATTAACTGTCAAAGGAGCAACTATCAGGCCACTGAGCAATGTGTCGATCAGCTCGATGCATGTGTGAGTGTCTTTGAGGGGGGCGTGGTGAGGGCACAGGGCTGCTTGGAGCGACTAGAGGACAGCTGGAGGGATCAATGCGAAGGCAAAGTTCACGATCGATTGCAGTGCGAGATTTGTGTAATCGATAAGTGCAACAATATCAGTTCCCCTCAGCTGTCCTGTGTGCAGTGCAACGATAATGAGGTGAGTTTTAAAGCTATTCATTAATAACTTCAATCTAAGGACACTGATTATTTTGTTTTCAGAATGAACTATGCCGAACTGCTCCGGAGCAGCTGGCACCACAAGCATGTGGCATAGCTCGCAGTGGACGCAACCTTTGCTATGCGAGCATCAAGAACCAACAAGTCGAGAGAGGTTGCTCACTGACCCTTGCAGAGCAGCGCAATTGCCTGGCCGATGTCAATTGTCAACTCTGCGATCCCTCGGAGATATCACATTGTAACGCTCAGCCTCTTGAGGAGATCCAAGTGACGACCCTGCCACCAGTTGATAGTACCAGCTCGACGAGTACAACTTCCTCAAGTTCGACTACGTCGAGTTCGACTTCATCAAGTTCTAGTTCCAGTTCCAGTAGCAGTTCCAGTTCAACATCAACTAGTACCACTACAACCACAGAGCAACCCACTAGCCCTTCAACCACAACACCTCAGCCCGGCAGTGCTCATAGCTTATATACGAAAAACATTCCCATTTTGCTGTTGGCTTTGCAGTTGGCTATGTATTTTTATGCCCCTAATAAATAATTTGGCAAACAAAAAAGGTATAACGTTGGCTTTTGGGTTCCCACGACCTTCTCTCAATCATAAAACTAACTAATACTAAACTAATAATCATTAGACGGTTGTTAATGTTCATAAAAAACGATTAGGTGCCCAATAACAGCTATATATATCTATATATATATATAATAGGACTTACAAAGGCCAACTAACCAAAGTTCAGAGTTAGTTGTATCAACTCTCATATACTTTCCATCTATTCTTCTACAGCAAAAAATATTAAGTATACGCATCTATTTTTAATAAGCTCTCAGTCCATGTATAAGAAGATCTTATCTTTAGAATTCTAACTAAATGAATAACTGAAACATAAGACCAAATACTATGGGGCGAAAATAAAAACCCAACATCAATAATCTACAAATGATTAGAAGAGATTAAAGAGCATTGTGAAATTATATAGAAAAACCGGGGGATATCAATCGCTTGGTAACAGCAGAAGACATTAGGAATGAGACGAAAATTCTATCGAAAATTTGACCAGATAATAAAAGGTCAGCGCTCAAAGTCCCCAGAGACTAAGAACTTCCTGAAACCCTTGAAGCGATCAAAAAGACATAACAGGTTTATCAATTGATAAGATTTGAGTGCAGCGATATTGGAAATTGCTTATTGCGCACCGAAATGCATTTCCTAACTGTGCAATGAATCAGTTTGAACGGGCTTATGCCGTCCACATAATACCAATAAAATCTATACGTTTATGGGCGACGCTCGGACCTGCAATCCACATATTAAATTGTTGGCCTGTCGCGGCCTTATCTCATCAAATTTGCCAAAGTGACGAAAATCGAAAATCGAAAATCGAACTACACGCGTGTAAACGTGTATCGGGCGCGATTCTGTGATTAGACGAAACTTTTTTGGGCTTATCTGCGGCATTGTTTTTGCTTTTTATGTAAATTCCCCTTACTAAATACGCACTGGCATTAGAGGGTGGCGGCAGGAGGGTCGGGGCGCTGGTGTTATAAATAACAGCGAGTAGAAACTCACTTTATCGGACATTCGGCAACAGTATCATATAATCATAGTCGTCAATATAAGGCAATAACTGCGGAACGACTCACTATGATACGGACATTCGACAAATCTATAAAAGCTGTGCCGAGCCGAGCCACAAAATTAGTTGCCCGATTCCACTTTTGTTGGTAATACGCGTCGGGTAAAAAGAGCCCATCGATCATGAGACTGAGCACAGCAGGGATAGCTCTGCTACTAATAGTATTATATGCCGATAATCCAAGTGGTAGGTCTACTCAAGTGTGATCAACAAGGATCAATTCAAGTGAAAATCTGCACAAATATTGGATTTATATATTATTAATCTATAAATGGATTATCAAAATCTAATTTTAAATGCGTTTCCACGTGGAATATTATGCAATCAAATTGTGTTGAACTGAAAAAAGAAATATATATATATATTTATATAATCTATCAAAGTGAAAAACAGTGTTATCAATAAACGAGCAACCATAAACAAATTTCGTTGCAAAATGGCACGTAGCTTAACGAACTGCCTAAAGCCACGATCATCAACTCTGAGGCGATCTAATGCGGAAATACAAGTGTGGATAGTACTACGCGAAGGATGTGATGCGACAGTGCATAGCTCGAGAGCTACAAAATAATATTCAACTTATGCAAGCACGTTCTAAAAAGCAAAATTAAGTTGAAGTTGGATAAAATTTATATAAAATATAGTGAACCGGTTTGAGAATATTTTTGCAGACATATCAAAATATTCGCAAGTTGCTGAGTTGTGTTTGCATATTTTTAAAAACGCAGTTTTCAGATTAAAAAATTATTTTATATATTTATTTATTTACACTGGAAATACGAGCTTTCTTGGAAGCATTTAATACCACAACATTTCTTGCACATGCTGTCAAAATAAAATATTAATTATTTCTGAAGTTTTCAAAGTTTTCCATGCAAACTAAAATTTTACTAAATGTGTGATAAGTTAAAATTCCGAAAAGCAAATTCATAGTTGATTGAGTATTTATACTAAGCTCTTGATCAGCAACATATCAAAAATGTCTTAGATATTTTGTGAGAATATAAAATTGAGTTATTTCTAGACAAACTTGATTGAGTATGTCGCATATCTGCTGTTGATCTAGAACATATTAATGTGTTAGAGATTTATTGATAATGTTTGTTGAACTGGCTCGATTGATATGACTTATGACTTATGACAAGCTCGCCTGTCTGTTTTGTGGCACATTTCTCGAAAATAAAGAAAGAAAAATAGAATTGAGTTGAAATGATTCAAAGTAGACAAAATATAAATTTAAATACAAGACATGTCTAAGGTCAATTACTATCTTAATAAAAAAATCCTCAAGCTATTAATTAGTTAGATTAAAAAATTTAAAAATCCACTACAAAAGCAAACATGTTAAGCTCAACACTATTTCTAGTAATATTAGATTACGCACTATGATTAGTGAAATCAAACTGATTTATTGTTTAGTGTGTGGATAGTTTATAAGTGCTAAGTTTTTTGTTTTGGACTTTGGCTATGGCTATTGACCTAGCATAAAGATTCTGATTGAATGATTATCTTAAGATAGTTGAATTGTATTACTTTTAATCTCAAGGGAATTTCCAGCTGGTTGTAAAAACAAGTTGTGATTAGTTTCCCAATGGTTCCCTGTTGAAGCCTTAACTTTGCTGGCAACGTCTTTTGCTTTCACTTTTAACTTACTTGAAGACTTCTTGGCCAGTCTTTTTATGTGCTTATATAAAGCGCACATATAATGCTATCTCTACCAATTAGCAATGTACGTTCGTACGTTGTAAATCGATAAAGCAATTTGATTGCCGGTTATAAATAACACGGGTATAGTGTTTCGCCGATAAAACTAGTCGCAAGATTAGTGAAAATTTATGTGTGAGTGCTATGTATATGCTATGTGTGTGGGCCTAGAGCAGATTTCAGAGACTAATTAATAGAGCAAAATGGCAAGCTTTGCTGAGTTGGTTTCTCATTTCTTTTAAGAATATGTGAAAATTTAGTAAATTTGCTGAATGTATTTGAGAGATGGAAAATTCTTTTTATGGTATTCAAAACATGAGAAAATTTAGTAAATTGGCTGAATGTATTTGAGAGATGGAAAATACTTTTTATGGTATTAAAAATTCATTTACACATATTCTAGGGCTATTGAAAACATGAGAAAATTTAGTAAAATAGGCTGAATGTATTTGAGAGATTGAAAACTCTTTTTATGGTATTAAAAATTCATTTTAGGGCTATTAAAAACATGAGAAAATTTAGTAAATTGGCTGAATGTATTTGAGAGATTGAAAATAATTTTTGTAATATTAAAATTCCCATATTAAAGAACTGAGTCTGTATGCAGTCTGTAGCCTACTAGTCCGTCTTCAAAAATGCACAATCTTGGCAACTATTATATTAGGTCTAAATACTTATACTCTTCATAGTATTTTTCCGCATTTATAAATAGTTTTTTTTTCTTATATTTGCACTTAATTAATTGCAGATGCCTGGACCCATAGTTGGCATACGGGTCCAATAAATTGTTACACCTGCTCCAGCTTGGAGCAGTGCTCTGCCAGCTGGGGCCAACTGCAGAAATGTGATAATAACAATGCTCAGAGCTGCATAGCCGTCTTCGACAGCAGCGGCGCAGTGATTCAGCGTGGCTGCAGCGACAACCTGGAGGCCACGTGCAGTGAAGCGAATGCCGATTGCTACGAGTGTCGCTCCAATGGCTGCAACAATCTGAAGAATAACAAGCAACTGGTTGAGTGTGTGGTGTGCGATGCACAAGATAATGAGAACTGCTTGAGCGACATTGAGCTGATCACCGAGACACGAGTCTGTAATGAGAAATGCATCACAGCGCTGTATCCTCGCACCAGCGACAAGGGCTCTCCGTTGGAGATAGTGCGCACGTGTCTGGACGATCTGGACTTGGACGAACGCAACGAATGTGCTGCGGGTACTTTGGCGAACTGTGTAGCCTGCGCCAGCGCTAATTGCAACACAGCTGAGCTGGGCGTGCGCGGCAGCTGCAACGTCTGCACTGGCGGCGAGTGCGATAAGCCAGAGTCTAAGACTTGCCGCGCCGTTGTTCCAGGCGGCGAAGAGCAGTGCTTCATACAGATGGACGAAAGCAATAAAATCACCGAGCAAGGCTGCTTCAGCCAGTACAACGTGAGTGACGCCTTGGTCTTGCAGAAGGAGAAACGCATTTGGACCTGTTCCGGCGAGAACTGCAATGTGATTTCCGCGCTGCCCACAGCCAAAGAGTGCAAGCTATGCAACTCGCGCACCGACAAGAACTGCGCCGTCGATCCAACTAACGTGAACTCTGAAACGGAATGCTCCCATCCCCTGAACACTGATTGCTATGCGCTGCTGCGCGACGATGGCCACACAGAACGTGGCTGCCTGAGCAGCCTGGAAGATGAAGACTACCTGGACTGCCTCGGCGGCAGCAATGCCACCAAGTGCAACTCCTGCACTGGCGACAGCTGTAATGTGAACGTGAGTGTTTGATATTAAAGCTTTGTTGCTAGGGATAACAGAGACTACAAAGTGCGCTAAGAAGGTCTTTGACAGGCTTTAAAATATAAGCTATATAAACATGCTCATCTTATTTACAAAATTATTTATTATATATTAGTAAAAGGTTTTGAAGCTTGAAGCAAGTTTTCGATACGTTCTCTTTGACTACGACTTTTGGTTAACATTTCCTTAGTTTCTTTAAAAGACATCAAATATATATAATCTGTTCCTCTCTATGACTAAAACTGTCTGAGTGGGAAGCACCGTTTAGCTTTTGAAAATGTTGCATGACTCATTCTCTATGACTAAGAGGACTTCCTTATGACTAAGAGCCCTTCAAGAATGAGATTTGATTAAAAGAAATTTAATTGAAGAGTTGAAAAAATAATCAGACAAAGAGATTTTGAATAGTGCTCACTCCATAATATCTATAAAAAAGACAAATATATATTTAGGCCCTTAACATATGTAATTTGATAAGCTCTGCATACATTAGCTTGCTTTACACTATCATTATTTAGATAAGCATGATGGCAATGTGTTAATGAATCATACTTGTTCTACAGCTGCAACCTGCGGAGCGTCTAACGTGCCACGTTTGCGACTCGAGTGTTGATAGTAACTGTGTGGCGGCGCCAGATGCCGCTGCTCTGTGCGTGCAGCACGCCGTGGAGCAGACATGTGTGACGACGCTCGATCTGCAGGGCAACACGTTGCGCGGCTGTGGCCATGAATTGCAGTGTCTAAGCACGGATAGTGCCAGCTGCCAGCGCTGCACGGGCAGCAACTGCAACACGGTCAACCTAAGCAGACGCGCTGACGGCCGTCCCGGCCAGTGGGCACAAGAGCTGCCGCTAAGCTGTCTCAGCTGTGGCGACGCAGCGGCCTGTGCGGCCAGCAGCCTGGAGCAGCTGACCTGCGCCAGCAAATCTGAATATTGTATGACAGTCTTTGATGATACCGGAGCGGTCAGTGCGCGCGGCTGCAGCGATGTGGTGGAGGAATCGTTCAGCAGCTACTGCGATGCCAATAGCGACAAATGCCACAACTGCAATTCGAATGACTGCAACAGCGCCACGTCTCAGGACAGCTACACGGAGTGCATTTACTGTGAGAGCAGCCTGAATAGCGATTGTGCTAAGAATCCCACGGCCGTGACTGCCCGACGCCAGTGCAATGGCCAGTGCATGTCCGCATACAGGCCACAAAGTGGACTGAACGTGTTTGAGCTGGTGCGCGGCTGCTTGGACGACAAGGATCCGCAGGACCAGGAGCTCTGCGCCTCAGGCGCAGACAACGAGTGCGTGGCCTGCACAGGCAATGCTTGCAACACAAATGATCTGAGCCTAAGTTCGCTCAGCTGTTATGCCTGCGGCGCGGGATTGGACTGTGCAGTACCAGAGATAGCTGTGTGCCTCAACTATAGTCCCTCGGATCGCTGTTACATGCTGTTCGATGAGACGGCTTCGATCACGGCGCTTGGCTGTCAGTCCGATCTAGATGAGGCGTTCATTGAGAGCAATCGACACAATTTGATTTTCTGCGAAGAAAACAACTGCAATTATTTTGACCTCGTGCCCACTCCCAACGACTGTGCCGTCTGCTCTTCCCTTGACAATGAGAACTGTGCCACCAATCCCAGCAAGATCACACAAATCGAGAAGTGCAACGTTCTGCCTAACACAGGCTGCATGACGCGTATCCTTTCGGGTGAGTTGGGCTGCTTCTAGTCTTCGTAAGCTTGCTAAACGAACTTTCACCTTTCAGATGGCTCAACGGAGCGCGGCTGTGTAAGCAAGCTGGCCACCAGCCAGCTCAGAGCTTGCCTGAACGGCGAAGGCAATTGCGAAGTGTGCGACGGCGACTTGTGCAACCAGCAGATCTATCCGGCCGATCGTCGCAGCTGTCAGCGCTGCAACTCGGTGCTAGATCCAAGCTGCGGCTCCGCGCCCAATGCTGCCACTGTGTGCCCGCGCTACGACGAGACACAGGGCTGCAGCGTCAAGCTGGTCGATGGCGCCACATATCGTGGCTGCCAGACGGAATTCCGTTGCGATGATTCGGACAAACAGTACTGCCGGCAATGCAGCGGCGACAACTGCAATGTTGTCGACTTGGAGCTGACGAACATTGGCTATCCGGGCAAATGGGTGACACCTCCGATCAATTGCTACACCTGTGCCGGCGTCGGCTGCCAGGGCACCAGCTTGGGCGCACTGCAGAAGTGCCACAACAACAACGAGCAGAACTGTGCCACCGTCTTTGCCAGCAATGGCTCCGTGGTGCTGCGAGGCTGCACCGATCAGCTGTACGCCGATGCTGAGCTGACGCAGTACTGCGACGAGACGTCGGGCAGTTGCAAGTTCTGCAAATCCTCAGCCTGTAACAATGCCAAGCAGCTGGACAACTATGTGGACTGTGTGCTGTGCGACGGCACCGATCAGGCGGCCTGTGTGCGCAGCATTGGTGACATTTCGCGCAAAGTCTCCTGCCAGGGCGATTGCTTTACAGGACTTTATCCGCGCAATCGAACGGATGTGGATTCGCCACTGGAGCTGGCACGCGGCTGCCTGGACGATCTGGACCTCGACGATCGCTTGGCCTGTGCCGATGGCAAGCTGGAGAATTGCGTTGCCTGCAGCGGCGAGGCGTGCAACAAGGCAGATGTGCCCGAAAATCGCTTGAGCTGCAACTACTGCGACGATGAGAGCTGCGACACGCTGACCTCACAAACTTGCACCTCATATAGAGCCAACGATCAGTGCTACATTCATGTCGGAGATCTGCGCATCGAGAGCATGGGCTGTGCCAGCGATCTGGAGCGCTCCTTCCTTCAGGCCAATCGTCGCGACTTGTACCTTTGCGACAGCAAAGACTGCAATGTTAAGGATGTTTTGAATCTAGTAGGCGTGGCCTGCAATATTTGCAACTCCACGCATGATCCCAATTGCATTCAGGGTGTCACGGGCGGAGCCGTCTGTCAGCACTACTTGAATCCAGAATGCTACAGTCACATCACTGAAGGTAAGTTAGCCTAGTCAGAGAAATTATTCCTGATACTTAAGAGTCTCCTTGCCCAACAGACGGCGTTTTGAAGCGAGGCTGCCTCATGGACACGGCTGATGATCTCTATGACGATTGCCTCAGTGGCGAGAGCTCCACCTGCCAGATTTGTAACGAAAATAATTGCAACAAGGAACTGTTCCCCGCCGACTGGCAGAGCTGCCTGCGCTGCGATTCCAACACTGACGCCGACTGCGAGAGTGAGCCAGCGGCCTATGGCAGCTACTGTGCGGTCTATGCGGCTGGCGATGCCTGCGTGACGAGCCTGGAGAATGGACGCACTCGCCGCGGCTGCCAGTCGGAGATCTACTGCGATGCCAGCCAGGTGGCCAGCTGTCGCATCTGCGAGGGCGCCAATTGCAATTCGGTTGACCTGGGCAGCAGCAATGTGGGTGAGCCAGGCAAGTGGCAGGATTTGCCACTGAGCTGCCTCGTGTGCACCGACATCGAGAGCTGCGCCAGTGTCACGACACCCACGACCTGCCAGGGCAACAACAAGCAGCTCTGCTCCACTGTGTTCAACGACGATGGCCAGGTGATTGCGCGCGGCTGCAGCGATGCTGTCCTAGCTGAGCACCTCGGCTACTGCGAAGCCAATAGCAAGAGCTGTCCGCAGTGCAAGTCGAATGGCTGCAACAATGCCGTGAGCTTGGCCGACTATGTCGACTGCTATCAGTGCGATTCGGAACTGGACGAGAACTGTGCCTGGGAGGCGCCCAAGAAGACACGCCAGTGCCAAGGCCAGTGCATGACGGGCATGTATCCGCGCAGCTCCGCAGTGGACACTGCGCTGCTGCCCACTCGCGGCTGCTTGGACGATCTGGAGCAGGCCGACCGGGAGCAGTGTGCTGATGGCAAGCACGCCAGCTGCACGGCCTGCAGCGGAGCACTGTGCAACAGCGAGCAGATTATAGAGACGCCTCAGGAGTGCTACAAATGCCTGGATCCGCTGTGCGAAGACGTCTTCACAGCCAAGTGCGTCGCGTATAGGGAGAACGATCAGTGCTACTTGGCATTCGATAGCATGAGCGTCGTTGCCATGGGCTGTGTCAGCGAGTTCGAAACGCAAGTGGTCAACGAGCTGCTCGCCCAGCAGCGTTTGCTGCTCTGCGAAGGCCAGAACTGTAATTTCCTCGATATTATACCAAATCCCAATACCTGCCTGCAATGTAACTCCCTGAGCGATCCACGCTGTGCCACGCACCCCAATCAGTTGCAAACCACGGGCATCTGCTCGTCCATACCTTACACGCAGTGCGTCACGCACATTGATGCAGCGGGCACCACCACGCGTGGCTGTGTGTCCAACCTGGACAGCGATGACTTCTATGGCTGCATAACGGGCTCGGCGGAGAACTGCGAACTGTGCACGGGTACCAATTGCAATGGCCTCAGCGTTTATCCGGCGAATCGTCGTCGTTGCCATCAGTGCGACTCGGCGACCAATGCCGACTGTGCGACTGCGCCGAGCAGCAGCGCTGTCTGCCCCATTTATGATGCCGAGGACACTTGCGTGACGACGATTATCAAGGACGTCACCCATCGCGGCTGCAGCTCCAGTTTGAGCTGCCCAGATCCCAGCAATCCCAGCACTTGCCGCGTTTGCAGCGGCGATGCCTGCAACACCATCGACTTGGAGCGCCTGAACGTCGACGGCTATCCGGGCACCTGGCAAGAGCCACCCATTAGCTGCCTAACCTGTGCCAGCTCGAGCGAATGCAGCTCGGGCGGCGGCACACTGGAGAAGTGCGTGGGCCAGGACAATTGCGTTACGGTCTTTGATAGCACCGGCGATGTGGTGACCTCACGAGGCTGCAGCGAAGCCTTGGACACGACCAGCGCCAACTACTGCGATGAGCAGCCCAACAACTGTCCACGCTGCAATTCCAATGGCTGCAACGTGGCCGACAGCCTCAAGAACTACGTGGACTGCTTGGTGTGCGATTCGAGTGTGAATCCCGATTGCGCGAACGATGCCAGCAAGATCACCAAGACACGTAAGTGCCATCAAAGCTGCATGTCTGCCTTCCTGCCACTGTTCGGCGAAACAGAGGATCCCAGCTACGCCTTGCTGCGCAACTGCTTCGATGATATGGAGCAGGAGGATCGTGAGACTTGCGGAACAGACGCCAACAAATTCTGCGCCAGCTGCGAGACGAACAAGTGCAACAACGTGGATCTGGTGGCCACACGACACAGCTGCCTCAGCTGTCGCGGCGATGACTGCCAGAATGCCCAGCCAGCGACCTGCGCCAATTATCGGGAAACCGACGAGTGCTACATTGAGTTCGATGAGCAGCGCTCAGTCGTGGCTCAGGGCTGTCTCAGCGAGTACAGCCATGAGGAGATTTACTTGCTGCAGCGCTCGAAGCGTCTGCTGAGATGTGCAGACAATGACTGCAACACAATCGAGTCCCTGGCCGAGCCGCAGACTTGTGTGCTGTGCAGCTCGCGCACAGATCGCAACTGCGCCGTGAGCCCCAGCAGTGTGAATAGCGCCACGAGCTGCCAGCTGACGGGTCTGCCGGAATGTTATACACGTGTGCTGGCTGATGGCGCCACGGAGCGTGGCTGCCTGTCCAGCTTGGAGGAGGATGAGTTCCTGGGCTGCTTCAATGGCACCGTCGCAGGCTGCAGCGCCTGCTTGGGCGATTCGTGCAACAAGGCGGTGTATCCCACCGACCGCACCTCGTGCCACATTTGCAGCTCGGACACCAATGGAAACTGTGAGTCCGCTCCCAACAGCCTCTCCGTTTGCCCCGTCTACGCTGCGGGCGATTCGTGTGTGACAAATCTACGTGGGGGCGTTACCTACAGAGACTGCGGCAGCTCGCTGAGCTGCGAGCCCAATTCGAAGACTTGCGTCATCTGCCACGGCAACGGCTGCAACGTGGCCGATCTATCTGGACTCAGCGATAACAATCACGGCTGGTGGCAGGATCTGCCCTTGACCTGTCTCAGCTGCGACGGTGCCGCCTGCCAGGAGAGCAGCATCAGCTCCGAGCGCTGCGCGGACAACAACGAACAGGACTGCATAACCGTCTTTGATGAGTCCAACGTGGTGGTTCGTCGCGGCTGTGAAGATGCCATTGAGCAGGACGCGCAGCTCGCCAGCTACTGTAGCGCCAATAGTGCCAAGTGCCCATTGTGCAAGTCCAACGACTGCAACAACGCAACTGCCATAACCCAATATAATAGCTGCATCTACTGCGACAGCAACAAGAGCAAGTCCTGCCTGTGGGAGCCAACGAGCACGGCACACAAGCGCCGCCAATGCCAAGGCGAGTGCATGACAGCGCTCTTCGGCAGCCCGGAGGCGGGCCTGGACCTCGTACGCACGTGCCTGGATGACAAAGAGCCCCAGGATCAACTAATCTGCTCCAGCGGCAAGGACGACCATTGCGTCTCCTGCTCTGGAGAGGCCTGCAATGTGCAAACGCTGCCCGCAGAGCGCCTGAGCTGCTACCACTGCGAGGACGCCAGCTGCGAGCAGCCAGAGAGCAAGCAGTGCGACATCTACAAGCCCAACGACAGCTGCTTCATCTGGTTCGACGAGACGAACAGCATTCGGCAGTCGGGCTGCCTGAGCTCGTTCCGCAATCAGGATCTGGAGAGTGTTATCGAGACCAAGCGCATTTCCGTTTGCCAGGGCGACAACTGCAACACGTTCACGGACTTGCAACACGTGACATGCGCCGTCTGCGACTCTCGCGAGGATCCCAAGTGTGCCACCACGCCCTTGGCCGTGGACAGCTTTAAGACCTGCAGTCAACTGCCGCATACGCACTGTGTTACCAAACTGGAGAATGGTAAGTCTGACATGGCCCAAAGGCAACGAAGGGCGAGGAAATCAATCGAATCCATCTTCATTTTTCAGATGGTGCAACAACCCGTGGCTGCCTGTTCGATCTGGATCAGGCTCAGTTCGCAGCTTGTCTGCTGGGCAACGACAAAAACTGCTCAATCTGTGACGCGGATGGCTGCAATCGCGAGGTGAGTTCGAAGCGTTAATAGGCACCAACCGAGTTGACTAATCGAGCTGTTCCACTCGCTTAGATTTTCCCAGCTGAACGGCTGCAGTGCTACAGCTGCAGCTCAGCGGATGACAGCAGCTGCGCCTCCAATCCCACAAAGACATCTGCCTGCGCCTGGGTCAGCGACACGGAAACGTGCCAGACGAAACTGGAGAACAATTTGACGACGCGTGGCTGCAGCAGCACCATCGGTTGCAGCAGCAGCGACTATCGCAATTGCCGCAACTGCGTGGATAGCTGGTGCAACTCGATCGACCTGGTCAACCGCGTGGATGACGGCCAGCATGGCTGGTTCCAGCCCTTGCCCTTGAAGTGTCACACCTGTGTGGGCGAGGACTGCTACAGCTCGCTGGGTCCGGCCGTGCAATGTAGCCTGAATCCTGAGCAGGACTGCAAGACGGTGTTCGATGTCGACGGCCAGAAGGTGCGCCGACGCGGCTGCGCCGACGATGTGGATGACTACGAGGATCTCTACTGCCGCAAGCATCCCGAACTGTGCCTCACTTGCAAGTCCAACGAATGCAATGACGTCTGGAGCTTGGAGAGCCTAAACACCTGCGTCTTCTGCAACTCGGAGGCAAGTCCGCAATGTGTTAGCTACCCGCAAAGCACAGAGCTGAGCACGCGCCAGTGCCAGGGCGACTGCATGGTGGCGTTGGTGGGCAAGAATGTGGTGCGCAGCTGTCTGGACGACAAGGAGGCATTTGACCGCCCCAGCTGCAGCAGTGACGAGAGTGGCACAAACTGCGCCGCCTGCGATAGCGACAATTGCAACACCTTCGCCTACCCATCAGATCGCCTGAGCTGCCACGTCTGCTCCAACAGCGGCTGCACTGCAAGCCATTCCGAATACTGCGTCGACTATGAAAGCAACGACTTCTGCTTTGCCAAGTACAACGATGGCGAGGTGCAGCTAATGGGCTGTGCGAGCAGCCAAAGCAGCGCCGATCTGGATCAGTGGCGCTCGGCGAACCAGCTGCACGAATGCCCCACCAAAGACTGCAATATGCTGAACGTGCTGCCAACCAGTGGCGTCTGCATAGCTTGTGACTCGAGCAAGACGCCCAGCTGTGCCCAGTCGCCCACTGACGTGGACATTACGACAACCTGCCACGCCCCGTTGGCGGACTGCCTGACGCGACTGGAGGACGGACACACCATACGCGGCTGCCTCAACAGCCTCAGCAGCACCGAGGGCAACGCCTGTGTGGCCAATGGCACCTGCGTTGGCTGCGCCGGCGACAAGTGCAACGCCGACATTTTCCCAGCCAATCGCCGCAAGTGTCACATCTGCAACTCGGTCGCCAATGACGACTGCTACGAGGATCCCAATCACTTGGCCATCTGTCCCATCTATGCCGCCGACGACTCTTGTGTCGCTGCCCGCGATCTAGACGGCTACGTGCAGCGTGGCTGCGCCAGCCAACTGCAGTGCGACATCAATGACACAGAGAACTGCATCATATGCAAAACGGACGGCTGCAACACGAACAAGTTCAACGGCGCCGCTGCCCTCGGTGGCATCGGCCTGGCACTCACGCTCGCCTGGTCCCTGATAGTCAGCTATAGCGGCCACTGAGCCACTTACCGATAACTTGCCATAGCTTTTAAATTAAAATAGTTGAATTATTTCTATACGAAACACAAAATAAATTAAAACGACATATTTAAGAACTAGCTCGACTCACTGAAGACCAAAGCAGCATATCGAGGTACTATAGATGGAGGATTTTGGCTAAATAGTTCTGTGAAATTGTAACAGGCAGCAGAAGGCGTGGCAGACCACATAAAGTATATGTTATGCTTGATCAGGATGACGCGCTGAATCGATCTAGCCATCTGGCGTCTGTCCATCCGTCCATCTGTGCATTTTTTCGCCGCTAACCACAGAAGCTAGAGACTTGAAATTTGAAATGTATCCTCGTGTATGCCATACTTATTATGCCATTTCCTTATTATCGATAAAAATCGATCATTTCTTTTAATTTATTTAAGCCTAGCTCTTATACTGCATGAATACTTCAGATTTACTGTGCAGATTTCTGTAATGCATACAAAGCATATTTTGTATTTTGAATACCTCCCCCATTTCCCCCCGAATTTGCAAAAACTAGAGACTTGTGCTTTTGCCAAAAATATACATATGAATGTTCTTATCACAAATTTGAGTAAGAAAGTCCATTCAGAAAAAATATTATGCAACTATTAAGTTGCCCTAGAGAAGCCCAAATGCAGCCCAAGCGCGGCCGCTGCGTCAACTGCGCAGTCAGCAGAGCGCGTGCTTATGTCTGCGTGTATATGTATATGTGAACCTACTGTTTGTTATGCATATATAAAAGAATCCTAGAATGTTGCGTATATCAGCACTTCCCAGTGTTCAGGGTATCTCCTAGTCGAGCCATCTCAACAGCAGCACTCTCTCTAGTTGAGTTTCCCATAGCAACTCCATGTCTCTGTGTAAGTACGCATTTCTCAATCTCCCTTACCTTTTCACTCTCAAAATCTTATAATTTCTACACAATAAGTTGCCAGCATATTTCATAAAGTGTTGAGCAAACTCCCTTTATATAAATTTCTAAAAACTACTTCAAGTCGGTCGTCGACAATTGAGTTTTAGTGACTCACGACTAAATAAAATTTATCTTAAGCTTTTATCCTATCGCGATATTGTACAGTAGCTCTGTGTTTTTCTGCTTCTTTTTATTTTCAGGCCATTTGTGATAAAATTGCTGACCACTAAATTGCGTTCATAAATCTGAGCGTAATTGCTTTTAGCCATGTCCAGCAATTAAGAGCAAATCAAATTGTTAGGCGACTGGTTTGTTGTTGGCCATTTCATGCGAATGGCGATAAGTTCATAGAGTGCCGCCAGTTGACTACACAAATTGTCAGTTGTGGCTAATCTTGATGGCCATACCAAGTGACAAATTGCAGCAGCGCTGGGCGCCCGTTTAAGCCATTGAACGCTACCTGAATTTCAATTTGTGCATTGTCCACAGGCCGATGATGAGTTAAATCTTAAACTGCGCCAGCTTCCATTTGCATTTTATTTCCACTGGCTGCGTTCGGCAATTTCTTGAAAACTTCCTGGCAGCAAGGTGGCTGGGTCTAAGGGTTCCCGCTTGGCAAATTTCACTTTTCAACTTTATTCGAGCACGAAATTGACGTGGCAGACGCACAAGGTTTTTTGCGTCTATACCCTGAAGGCACTTTAAACGGAGTTTTGCCCACCAAACGAGTTGAGGCACAAATGTTTTTATGTCTAGCCTTGGCTGTAAACAAATAATGCCGACACACATGGGAATGGGCACATGTATATGGGATTATTAAAGAGCATTATAAGAGGCTCAATTATGGGAATTTTACAGAATTTGATACTAGATATAGCTAGCTCTATAAACATTCTGCATTTATTAAGCTAACTAGCCTATGGCTCAAAGTGAAGAGTAAATTAATCATGTAAATTATATATAAAGACTTAACTCTAATCAGAGAGTGTCAAATTATATTAAAGTAGTCTCAACTCATAGCATCAAACCAACCTAGCCAAGAGCAGCTCGAGCATTAGATGCATCTCGAGTGACATAATCGATCCGTGCACCTGCCACTTGCATTGCTGCTGTAATCGCAATCACAGCTGATAGCCGCATGCAGCTGTCACAACAAACCGCCCGTTAGCCCAGCTGCTGTTGACCAATTTATTTAGCCCCGTTTATAGCTGGACACGGCCTACCACGCCACAAGTTGCTGACAGCAACAGCCGCAAATAAAATCCATTAGTTGCAACCAACTGCAAATGCCGGCAATTGCTAGCTGCCCAAATAGTCAAATAGTCAAATGGCCAAATGGGCAACTGGACAGCTCCTGCTGCGCTTTCGGTCCATGTCCGCGCCACAGAGCAAACAAATTTAATATAGCATTGCAGCAGTTGCAGCCAGGCAGCGCGAGTCGTGTGCTGTAAATTATGTGCAACAAATAAATTATGCTCAGCTCTGGCATTTGATTAAAATGTTTAAGTGTCAGGCGATGGGAAATAAATTGCAATGATGTGGCAGGCAAGGCGGGCCAATCTGTATTGTAGGGCACAGTTGTCTCTGGCATTGAAAGAACTACCATGCAATGTTATATTTTTTAATAATAGATATAAAATGAATTTAGTATGACTATAATTATCTGTCGGTTGGCACGTTATTAAGACGTAATCGAAGTAAAACCCGTTCCTAAGCGGAAACATACAAAATAATTTATAAAATTGTAAGCTAACGGAAGAATACGTCAATATCATATCACATTCAACAGCAGATTTAGAGCACACAGCGTCACTTGTTTAACACTTTCCGTAAGCCAGTTTTCTTAGATGGCCTAAGGACAAAGAACGAACACATCAGCGTCTCATCGACGGACAACATGGCTCCGGCATTATCGAATTCACCGCAATAGTTGGGCGCCGAGAAGATGGTAATTAGCTGGCGCTTGGCAAAGAACTCGTAGCCATCCTCGACCACCTGATGGGCGCGACAGACCAAATCGAACTTGAAACGATGCACGAACTTGCCCACCGTGTCCGCACCGAAGGTGACGCTAACTCCACGATCGTTGTCAGCCCATCCCATTATCTTGGGATCGGGATCGGCCCAGAGCAGGTCGCAGAGCAGGCCCTTGTCGGGCACCTCGCAAGGACGTTGCAATTTGGCGATTTGCGTCATGTTGTTTAGCTCGGGACTGAGACCGCCGTGGCAGCAGAATATCTTCGTGTCCACAATGGCCGCCACTGGCATACAGTTATAGCAATCAACAAAGGTACGCCACAGCTTAATGGTATAACGCCGCTTGCACTCGTCGTAGAAGCCGTAGACGCGATTGATGCCAGCACTTTCGTGATTGCCACGGAGCACAAAAAAATTTTGCGGAAACTTGACTTTGTAGGCCAGCAGCAGGCAGAGGGTCTCAATCGATTGCTTGCCCCGATCAACATAGTCGCCCAAAAATAGATAGTTAGAAGCTGGAGGATAGCCGCCATAGTCAAACATACGCAACAAGTCCGTAAACTGGCCATGTAAATCGCCGCAGATCTTGACCGGCGCTGAAAGCTCCAGCAGCATGGGCTGCTGGAGTAAGACATCCCTACAGCGCAGGCACAGAGATCGTATATCCGCTTCGGTGAGATGCAATTGCTTAACTCTACGAACTTCGATAATTGCCAATATCATCTGATCAATATTTGCAGGGTCGACGATTGATGAATGACGGGCCGCAGCTGCGGCATTTGGCGTTGACGCATGTGCCATCCCGAAAAGAGCCACAGATTCTGATACTGCCGCGACTCGTGCAGCACACAACGAGATTTTGAGTAGGTTGCACAATTTGATCGATTGAAAACATATATGATGACTGCCATCTACTAATATGATTGAAATGGCAGAAATGTTGATGTGACAAGAAATATTGACAGATGGCGCCCGGGCTCAGCTCTCATGCTTTACGTTTTTCTCAGTATTGTTTGCAGAAAGGGGATCAATGGTAGCCTTCTGCCCAAATATCTTGGATGGCCGCAGAACATGAAATGTGATCATCAAATTCTCATCGACGCCCATAGAAGCTCCGGCGTTATCGAACACGCCACAGTAATTTGGCGCGGAGAATATGGTGACCAGTTGACGCTTTGCGAAAAACTCATAGCCATCTTCGACAACCTGATGGGCACGGCAGATGAGATCGAAGTCAAATTTTTGCAAGAACTTCTCAATCACATCGCGTCCATAGAGGAAGCTAACGCCCCGATCACTGGGCGTATAGCCGAAGCCCGTCATGTCCGGATCACTCCACAACAAATCGCACAGCAGACCCTTGTCAGGCACATCGCACGGTCTAGTCAGCAAATCAATATCTTTCAGCTCCATCAGCTTTTGGCTCAAGCCGCCATGACAGCAGAAGATCCGGTCCGATATGATCGCTGCCACTGGCATGCAATTGTAGCAATCGACGAACATTTTCCACAGCTTGACCGTGTAGCGCCGCTTGCACTCGTCGAAGAATCCGTAAAAGCGATTTATGCCCTGCGCCTCGTGGTTGCCGCGCAGCAGAAATATATGATTTGGATAAGTAAGCTTCAATGATAGCAAAAGCGTTATGGTTTCCACCGAATTTTTGCCCCGGTCTACGTAATCGCCCAGAAATAGATATGTGGCGGCCGGTGGATAACTGCAGTGCTCCAGTATTCTCAGCAGATCGCCAAACTGACCATGAATATCACCAACGACGCGCAGCGGTGCCTCCAAGTGCAGCAGCATCGGCCCATCCATAAACAGCTGTCGTGCCGCAATGCACATGCTCATGAGGTCTTGTTCGAACAGCTGCACGCGCTGCATTTTGGCTGCCTGAAAGTTTTTCAGCTTGCTTATCATTTCCATGATCGGATTTTTTAGCGCGGTTGAGTACATTGACTCCCTAGCCGCAGAAATTCGTGGACCTTCATTAACATTGTGTTGACCGCGCAATGGACGAACTGTGCCCACGCCCTGATCAACATTTCGACTCATATTCAAGCCGTCTTTGGTTCCTTCAAAGTGTTTGTGTTTTTTTTTTTAAGCTTTTCATAATATATATTATAGTTACACGAAAACTCTGTCAAACTAAAATAAAAACAATTTCAAAAATGCCCAGATCAAAATAAAATTTGATAATTATTCAAATACAATTTCTTAGCCTAAACATTTGAATATTTTAAAATATATTTAGTTTATTTTGAGTTTTCATTTAAATTGTGCAAGAATATTTATAAATAATTACTTAGCTACATAAGCACTAAATAAATGAAGAAATATACCTAGAGATTTACAACTAACAACAGATAAAAATATATTTAAAAGCAAATTTGGTCAAAACGTTGTTTTAGATTTAAGCGAACTTTTCGCTTATGAGATTTATATTGCTTGATGAACTAGAAACATAATTCTCACGGTTGAACTCGACTAAAAAATTAATATAATATTCAGTTAATAGTTTATAAAGAGCTTCTTATTTAGCAAAGCGTGACTATCAGATACCCTAAGATATGAACTGTGAGCAGGAAAAGTTTAAAATCCAAATAAACATTTTTCGCATTATTCATATTTAAGCCTCCCAAAAAATTCTACAAAATAAGAGGTATTGTTAAGTATATATGAATGTTTCTTTAGGTCATCATAGCTACAATTGAACAACTGAAAATTGCTTTTAGTTGAGTTTGTCTTCACAGTTTACTACAAAAAACCAACGATTATAAAATATTGAAATTTTTATTAAAATAATAGTTAAGTTTGGCGAACTTCTCATTTCATGAGCCCATTTATATATATATATATATATATATATATATATATATATATATATATATATACTATTTTTGCGCTTTATCGACTAGAGTCTTTGGTTTATTTATCAGCAAAAACCAATGATAAAATAATGTCATAAAATGTGCAACTCTTTAAAAAATTCACCCATATATATTACTCTGAACACCAATGTTTTTGAATTGATTTGCATATTGATAAAAATATTTTCAATTTTTAAAATTTAAATTAAATTTATAGCGAAATGAACTGCATTTCGCCTTGCCATGCAAGTCACCTTGGTATATTGTGCTTGGCATCTTTTAATTTCCGCTTTCTCGCACCTCAGACGCGGCAAGTTGTCCACTCCACGTGGGTCTGGGCAGGCCACGGCAAACCGCTCCAGCCATCCACATGTGTCATCAATGTGGCTGGCAGTGCAGCATTTCATCATTTGCAGCTAGTGCCGTGGCCAGGCCAGTTTATTGTGAGAGGTGCGTACGTGCCTTTGTCGTTTATTAGCTCATGCTGGACACGGTCGGCGTGCAAAGGAAATTAAAATAATTCAAGCATTAAATTCAATTTCATTTTTGCAGCTGCAAAAAGTTACGATACGATGGATAAACTCAAGAGATTATTTTATGAGCGAGAATTGTTTTTTCTTCACATTAACAAAATTTATTTTACTGCATCGAAGTTTTTTTAGAATGAACAAAAACGAGCATCGAGAATATTTCTTTCACATAGACATAAAAAATAGATTAGATTAAAGCTAAAAGTTTCATGTGTGAACAGGAAAGGCAACTGCAAAAACAGGCTTGATTTATGTTTCAAATCTTAACCATCTTATCAGTAGTATATTTTGAATGCAGATACTATGGAGCCATGGACAGCAGTTGTATCAAGTACAGATTATAGAAAGAGATGTCTTTTTAAAGATGCTCAAAATATGCTGCACTACAAATTCTATATATTTATTTTTATATTTTTTCAGTTCCCATTTGCTGTGCTGGCAATAGAAAACAATTTCAATTCCAACAATTTATGCCAGTTAAACAAATTTAATCCTACGAGCAGGCAAAAAAGAAGCAGCTGGCACAAAACTAAATCCAGACAATTGAATTTGCTGCGGTGATGTTTTATATGGACTCACAATACACTGCTACATATATATGGCTGATGTACTGATATATATATACTACATATATATATATATATATATATATGTTCATGTACGATATATAGGTATATATATTTGTTAGCTCTGCGCGCTGTGTGGTATTATTTAAATTGAATTTGCAAATTAAGTTTATTGTATTGCAGCGCACAGAAATTTATATTCTATGTGCGATTATTGTTTCGCCTTTTTGTATTATTCCGATGTTTTTTTTTTAACGAAGAGCTTCACTGGGCTTATGCTATATTTATTTATGGCCAGCGACTTGTTTGCTGCGCCCCGGCTGAGCTGCCGCCTGTCAGGTCTAGGGATCGGATATGGGCATATTCGTATTTTATTGTATTGACTGCGCCTCAATTGAAACAATTGAGCAATTGATTTGCATGCATAGAATTTGTAACTGGGATTTCCGTTCAATGATTTATGTCAACGCGCATTGCATTTCATTCCATTCTCTGCAATATTTCACAATTGGCAAATAGTCGCAAAATAACAAAAACCATTCAAATGAAAGCTAGCAGGCTAAGACTTAGCTTGAGCAGTATGTTTTGAGTATCAAATGGAAATGTAGAATTTGAGTTATATCCATAATAATTAGAGGTGCTAGACATTCACCAAAGTCAAAAAAGACATCAAGCCGAATGCGCCTTTAGCAGTTTGCCTTCTTTAACCCAGCGGCAGGCGCTTAGTTTAACACTTCAATTAAAGATCAAAGGTTGACTCAATAGATTAAGATTTTTAAGAGACTTACCTAGATTAGTTCTCTCTATTCTTTACCTGTATGTTTGGTCTCACGGCGCATCGGCTTGATCATGCCCACCTGGCGCTCTTATTTCGAGCATAAATATTCATATAGAAGCAAACAGCCTGACAATCGTAGTCACTGGCTTCTGTTAAACACAAACTCTGTACTTACTTATTATTTTAATTATGGCTTATTAATAAAGAGGATTTAAATTATATATATATATATATATATTACATATTATATTACATATTTATTTTCATTAATTTATAAATATATTCTGTTAATTAAAATTTTTTATTTTCTGCTTGAATTTCCTATTTTGTTGCATCTCCAATTTGAAGCTTTAATAAATGCAAAACCTTTGCCAAAAACTGTAAAACTCTAGCCTAGATTTAGCCAACATTTATATTAACATGTAAGTTGTCTGCCATCTGTTCATTTCAGTTTTGCTGCTTTCTTTTCTTTTTGCAATTGGCTGGCAAACATCACGCATACGCACTGTCGTGCATTGCACCCAATTTACATTTACTTGGCAAATCGTTAACAATTTTTGCGCAGCGTCTAGTTGGCACCATTTGGTCAGCCAAACAAAAAGTATACAACAATAGAAGTGGGCATAAGCGACTGCACAATACTTGCTGAGAGTTGACTTTACTAGGACTGAAACTGAAGTTAATTCCAGTTGGAATGAAGTTGTTTACTTGATACTGCAGAGTAGTATAGATAGAAGTATATAGATAGAGCAAGAAATCCTTCAATATGTTCCTTCTCTACGTACAATAATATTAAGTCCTTCCAGCTTCAGTGAACACAATCAGGCAACAAGGCAAGGCGTCAGCCAATATACACCTTTAGACACTCTAAATAGCGCATATACCCCTTATTTATTTATATAAATAAATATATAAATAAATTAAAAATCATATAAAAACGGACAACGCAATGCAGCTCGCGTTTAGCTGGCGCCTAGGGGCCGCCGCCTCGATGACGCCTATGGGCCAACAACCCGGTCGCCACGGATTTCCCCTAAAATGCATGTTGTTCGCTCGCACAATTCTTGACTGCACCAAACTAAATGGAAAGCAACGGGAGATAAATGTATTCAGGAAATGGAGTCCATGACTGGCCGAAAAATTGTGCAAAGCTGGCGAAAATTATCTGCGGTCAAGCGGAGTTCGCAGTGTTCAATGTGTGTCAGCAGGCGCTTTAAAGCGCCGTTAGACGACATCGATTCAAGGACTTGAATTAAATTTTGAAAAATTTAAATAATTTCAATGTTACGCAGCTATGAAAGCCCTAGCAAATGCTAATTTATGGCTAAGGAGCCGTTGTGGACTGCAGTCACGTAAATGGCTCCTGCTTCAGGTTTCATTCCAGCTGTTGCAGATCATTTGGGGCGTGGCACGTGTCGCGTGAAACAGCTTGCAACATGCCCCAACCGCCTACACACAACTACTTTAAACTAAATATTAACCGTGGCGCAGAGCCGACTGCATTTATCGTTTTAATTAGCCCGCACGTAATACGCCGACAGCTGGCGAGGTGCGAGCTTAGCTGCAGCTATTTGGCCAAGGGCCGAGTCCAGGTAATTAGCATCAAGTGCCACCAGCCACCAGCCACCAGCCACCAGCCATCAGCCACCAGCCAGTGCATATAAATTAATGAAATGCCAAACACGTGCACGGCGGTCAGTAAAATGCATTTGCTGGCCAGACTCTAACTACGCAATTTATGGAACGCAATGATAAAGTAAATGGGCCAGCGATTACATGATAATGGGTCGGGGAAAATGAATGTGAACGCCTCGAACTAGGCAGCAACTATGCGTCTAAGACGACAATTTATTGGGGCAAGTCAACTTTGGGCAGTACAAACAACCCTCCACTGAGCCAGTCGGTCAGCTGGTCAACTGGTCAGCCCCTCGCTGGACAAGTTAAGGGCTAAACGATGCTGACATAGACAGCACTTGGACATCGACGGGTGCCAATTTTCTGTTGATTACACGACAACAGTGTTGCGCTGTGTGCACTGGCCACCCTGTTGTGGAGAGTGCTTGGCGTGCGGTGGTGGTGTCATCAATGGGTGGTGCCGTGACAAGGGTCAAACGAAAGTTTTACGAGCACTCGCCAGCATTTGTTGTTGTTGTTGTTGGGTTTTACTTTATTTATTTTAAGTTTAATTCGTTTGGTTGCTAAAAAGGAAATTGGTTTAAGTGGAACGGACGAGCGGGAAATCAGCAAAATAGATTTATCTAGTGAAAGTTTATCACCTGCCGGGCTGAAAAGTGTGAAACGTCCATGAAAGTTGGCCCAACTGTGTCTGACAGTTTCAAAATTGGGCTTAGCTAGAGAGAGAGAGAGGGAGAGACATAGAAGAGAGTTAAGTT